CTCTGCGCGAGGGTGAGGTGACTAGACGAGTGACGCCTACTATAAGATAGGGTATCGCATGTCAATGCATATAAGGAAGGAGTTAATATTATCAAGTGGAGGGTAATTTGCATTATTGATTCTACTATTTAGCTGTCATTTGGAGTGATATATACCCTTTGATTCAACGGGGTTGACGACTGGAATTCGCGGTTTCGAGACCTGATGAAGGCCAGAGAATGATCACAGAGCGCATCCGCGAGAGACGCATAGCGTGTCGCGGGGGGTCGCCTTCCAGCCGCCAATCCCGTTGAATCAAAAGTTTATACAAATAAAAGCATACCTCAGAGAGCTTCCTGTAACCTACAGATGGCAGACCTTACTCTATCGTTGCTTTATCATCCATTCTTTGCTTCAGTGCTCGGTCACATGCGGTGGTGGTGTGCAAAGACGTCGTGTATGGTGTGAAGATGCGGTCACAGCACAGTCTCAAGACGAGGGTGAATGTCGAGACGCAAAACCGAAGACAGTACGAGATTGCGAGCTACCGCCATGTCCAATTCCTCAACGTCAGTCGCCAGCCGTTTGGCAAGCGGCTCCATGGAGTCCGGTACGTCGCAGATACCGTAAACGTCCACATATTTACAGCCACCGTAGGTGGTCACATCGCATTTGGTAAAGCGCTTTCGCCTTGTTATTTAGTCGCCACTGAAAATGCCATCACCGCACTGCTTTTCATTGAGTTATTGTATACTCGATAGAGTAGCTCTATGTCGTGAAATTTTTCGAATGCTTTGTCAGAATTGCAATCCAAATCGGTGCAGAAACCATTAGCCTAAAAAATATTGCAATGTGACAAAATATTCGCTGAAAATGCTACCCAAAGTGTCCAAATCATCGCCCCAGGCGATCGAATATGCATGAATTTTGGGTTGTTATTTCACACTTTGTTTCGCTTAGTTTTTTAAATTATTTCACACCTCGTTCACAATCGACTGCCTGCATATTCGCCTGCCGACTAGTGGCGTCTTTCGTTGTTGGTTTCCATGTGTTGTTCTGTGTTTGTGTGTCTGTCTACGTTCGTGTCGTTTGTGTTCGTTTGTGCTTGTCGCCACACTCAACATTCGTCCATAACGTGCTCCAATCATCATATCACAATTTAGCAGTAATTTTTTGTGTTTTGTCATTTTTTGTTTCACTAGTTCGTTCAACATTCGTTATGGGTCCGACAGAACTTTTCTATACATATACGTTAAGAAGAAAAAATAAAGTGTTTGACCATTACGCGTTGTCGTTTCACTAGCACTTGCACTCAGTCATGGCACTGCAATGGGATTGAACTATTTTTTGCACTGCATGTTAACCCGTGATGTAGATAATGTTTGGTTGCTGGTGGTGGTAAATGTCCGTTGCATGAAGGTTGTGGGCTTTTTTGGGTGGTGTATTTTTGGTTACGCCCTCCTCAGTTCAAGTCCGTCACTAGAAGTTACCCAGCCGTTCAGAATAAGAGTATTTCTTAGCTCTGTAGGTCTACTGATCAAGTCCTCCCTCAAAGTGTGACTCTTTACACGGAGTGACCTCTCTTGTAAGGAAAACCACTTTGGACTTGTATCGTAATCTTTCACGAAAAAAAAAA